CATACGAGCTTGGGGACTGTGTTAAGAGGTGAGGACCCATACATGAGTCTATCGCCAATGGTTTGTATAGCATTTTGGTTGCGTTTTATCATTTATTCATGTCCATGATACATTTATTTTTGTTATAAGAAAAGAAACTCTTTAAAGTGATGACTAATAGTAAATAAGCCCTTTCTTCAGTTGAAGACAACCCCCAACCTTTAAATTACCCTGGACTTGAATACAATTTTTCTTGTTTCCTCCTATGGTCCATTTTCTTAAAGCCCCAATATATCATTTTTATATTCTGCCTTGTTTTAAAGTTACTTGTGTTCATTTCTTATTTTCCCTTTGAAAATTTAATGTTCCTGGGTGTCTCTCCAAATATCTAGTATGGTCCTCTCTTCATAGTAGACTTTGTAGGAATGCTTATTTCAGAATGCTTATTGTTTCTTTTAAAAAAAATCTTTCTCTGACGCATAGCACTTGGGCAGGCACTATAAATCGTTAAGACCACCAGCATTCTCTGTGTCAATTATTTCTCCAATTGAATTAATAATACTCCAGTAGTCTCCTAGAAAGCTACTCACTTGAGGGAGGATCTATAGTAAATGATGATTAGTAAGCACTACAAAGATATGAAATAATGACAGAATCACAACTTCAGTTTTAAAGTATATAATTGTTCTTCAAAAAACATAAAAGCTAGGCACGTCATTCATAATCCTTTTGGGGATGACCACCCTGTCCCCAAAGAACACGTATTTGAATTTTTTCCAAGTATTTGACTATTCATTACTGTGGTTTATGTCTGACATATTGATGCTAATTATTTTTTTCTGTGTATGCAGTTGTTTCTCTAAGGAATATGTATTTACTCTCTATCTTTGAATTAACTCTTCTTTGAATGGCCTATTACTGTATGAGACTGGGTATATTCACCTAATTCTGCTAGAAAGCTTTCATCTGAGAACACCCTTGTTTATGTTGGTTGTGACCCAGTGATGTGGTAGCTTTTGTTTTCTACCAGCCAATGGCTAAGTCACATTATTCATGTGGCTGTATTGGTTTAAATCACCCAGCATAAATTTTTCCAAATATTTAAAAAAACTTTTAGGGGCGCATGGGTGGCTCAGTTGATTGGGCGCCCAACTTCGGCTCAGGTCATAATCTCACGGTTTGTGGGTTCGAGCCCCGCTTTGGGCTCTGTGCTGACAGCCAGCTCAGAGCCTGGAGCCTGTTTCGGATTCTGTGTCTCCCTCTCTCTCTGGCCCTCCCCTGCTCACAGCCTCTCTCTCTCTTTCTCAGAAATAAATAAAACATTAAAAAAAATTAAAAAAAAATTTTTTACTGAAGGTGACAGGAACCAACAGTTTTGAGATTACCTTTTCTTTTGTACCAATAGAGACTTGCCAAAATTAAGATAAATTGGATATTGATTTCAGCCAATATTAAAGTCAATCTGTAATCATACTCTTGAAATTTCTATATTTTTAGATTATTTCTTTATTTTTATTTTACTGTTATTATTTTAAATATTTTATTTATTTTTGAGAGAGACAGAGAGAGAGCGCACAAACACAGGAGGGGCAGAGAGAGAGGGAGACACAGAATCTGAAGCAGGCTCCAGGTTCCAAGCTGTCAGTACAGAGATCGGCGCGGGGCTCGAACCCACAAACCAGGAGATCATGACCTGAGCTGAAGTTGGACGCTCAACTGACTGAGCCACCAAGGTGGCCCATTATTTCTTTATTTTTAGAAATAGATTTCTTTGATGTTATCCTTGAAATTCATAATAGTTGATTCCAAAACAGAAGCCACTATAGATTAAGATACATCCTAAGGGTAAATTCAAGAAACAAGCTAGAAAGAAAATTAGTGGGACACACACAACAAATGCAATCTAAATGTACTAGCTGAATATTCTCAGAGCTGTGCAGATACAGTCATTGTTGAAGATAGTCCAGGAGGATTCCTGGTGTGCTGGGAGGCCAGTGATGGTGGCAATTGTCATCAGAAACCATTTGACTCACAAACCTTTAGGGTTGCTTCAGCCATTTTTAGGTAAGATCTGTTATTTACTAGAAAGAACAATTTAAGAAAATAAATAAGTATTGTTTATAGTCAGCCAATGTTAAATTAAAGAGGCTCTTTCCAGTAAACAACAGTTCACAAAAGCAGATGTGAAGGCTTTCATTGTTTCTTATGTATTTAAAAAGTAAAAATGAGCCCTGAAAAGCTGAAACTCTGGCACAAGCATGTCAGCTAACAAAGAAGGTGGCAGGTCCCTATCTCAGCTGCTTTTGCCTCCCTGACATCCAGTATCCCTTCACAATTTTTACTTTAAAAGACCCTGCAGTGATTTTGCTTTAGAAGTGATAACAACCAAATATTTGTCTGCATACTCTAATCACAATTTTGGGGAGAGTGTGAAAGATGGGCAATTTTTCATGTTACTGATTACACTATTTGGCAAAAGTTATAGGAGGATTTAAGAATGTGATACAGAGGTCGAATTGTAGAGAGAAATCACAGTGATGATTATGGATAGTGGGGGGAAATGTAAATAGGAAGAGGGGACAGTTCTGGTTGACAATGGACAAGTGTTATGCTGATCAGAAAAGACACATGTGCATATACAACAAAACACAAAACAGTGTGCACACACATATTATGAAAGCTATCATTCCCTTAATCTGGCCAGTGGAAGATGAAATTTTCCCAGGAGAGAGAAGCCGCTAAAAGATTAACAGTAGTAGCAACAAGATGGCGGCTTGTCTTTTGTTTGGGAAAGGAAAGTCATCTAAGTGTCGAAATTAAGAAGAAGGTTTAATGTATCCATTGTTTATGTTACTTATTTTTTTTAATCAGTGTTGACTTGTAGAGTGATCTGGACATACAAGGTAAAGTTCCTAATGAAGTATTTCTGTGATACGATCCTAGCTTAATGCCGTTGTCATTAATTAATGCTGATTAATTAATTCTTATTCTTATTATGTGCTGGGGTAGTGTATTTAGGTAATGATTGGCCATAACAGAGAAGGTCTTTGTCTTTATGGAATTTATAGTTTAGTCAGGCAGCAAACAATGAACAAATCAATTCTATTTAATTATAGATTTTAGTAAGTGCTGGTTTTGCGAACCTTAATTTTTATAACTTATAAAGGAAGTAGTGCTTATTCTTGTGAATTTTGAGTTCTGTTCCTTCCCATTTATTATTAACATTTGTTCAGCACTTATGAGCACTGTGTTAAATGCTTTATGTATTGGCTTATTTAATTCTCACAATTAATTCATGGGGTATATACTATTGTATATATACAGTATGGTTAAATAATGTTCCCGAAGACATACTACTAATTAGAGTAGGGACTGGATTCAAACCTAGGGCTGTTAGTGTGTAGAGCTTTTTCTCTTAAGAGCTTTGCTGTACTACCTCTCTGATTAGAGGATAAGACCTATGATTTAATATGCTAATATTTCTAATTAGTTGCTACTTTGTCATATATATTTAAATGTATGAACATGCACAAGGAATCAACAAGGGAAGAGAATTTCTCTACCCTACCCAGGGTCATCTTTACTATATTATTTCTCTCATCACACAGCTGGGCTGTTGAATGTTGCTATAGAAAATCACAAAACTATTCTGACTGGATCTGTACCGAGTCATGCTTTCTAATTTTATGGCTGCTCACAATTCTTTTGCTGACTCCCTATCACATTTCCTACAGCAGCATTTCCACCCCATCCTCCATCTCAGCAAAAGCCTTTATTTCTGGCTTGACTGATTAATGTTTGGAAGTGTGTTCTATCGGAGAACTCTTTTCCTGGCCCTCTTGTTTCCAGGCTTTGCAGGAATGAACAGCTTTGGATGAGTACTTCCTGTTTCCCCCTGAACTCCCAAGTCTTATCCATGAGAATGAGTGATTTAGTTGATTGTTGGTGCAAGTAGACTCTGACATCGAAAAGTCTATGTTCTTTTATTAGGCAGGTTGTGTGTTTCAATTAACTTCTTCCTTTGCTTACCCTTCTTTTGGGTCTTCCAGAGTAGGCTGTTCTTGAGGTGAATATATTATTTTCTCTCCTTCATGTGACTATTCACCAGAGTAGACAGAGCCCAACAAAGTATCTGTTTACTCAACATTTACCATAAAGTCCATATACATCAGTGTAGCATTTACTTTGTGGCTCTTACTGGTCTAGACTCTGAGGGATATATAAAGATATTTAAGACGACTCAGACCTTCAAGGACACTACACACTGATTGGAAAATCAAAGCCAGTAACTGTAAAATAAGGCCTATGACTATAAAAAATATCTATGTTTCTAAGAAATGTACAGACTATAGACTTCCAGAGAAATATACAACAGACTACGTCAACCATGTAAACAATAGAGTATGGAATTCCAGAGAAATAAGAAATCACTTTAGTGAAGATGATCAAAAGGAAAGGTCCCTTTCATTGAGATGATCAGGAAAATATTCCAAATTCTTTACAATCTGAATTCTATAAACTTATTTGAAACTACATGCCATCACTCCTCTGTGAGAACAGGAAATAGTGTGTTTCCTGTTTCAGTTTATCTTTTAATAGTGCTATGAGGAGGTATTCTTACATCCCTTATACAGACACAGAACTTCCTGGAAAAGTCCCGAGGGGTAAAATAATGGGCTCAAAGTCACATTGTTAATAATAGGGAGAAAACAAACCCAAGTTTGCCAATTTTGATGTTCATGTTGCTATCTCAGAACTAGGCTCGTTTTCCAAAGTAGTATAGGATAAAGGACCCTAGGTGGGGTGGAGAAGGTCAGGGTTTGAGTCTTGGATCTGCTATTATAGGCGTATGAACATTTTATCTCTCTACCCTTCACTATCTTTTGTAGAGAGAGAAAAAATCCTGCCTACTTCAAGAATTTTGGAAAAGTTAACATATAATAACACATCTGTTTCATAGTGTTCTGAATTAGGACTTTATTTCAGCTAAGAACCATGTAAGTAACCACACTCTTATATGAGCAGCACGGACAGATATTGGGTTCCCTGGAACCAGACTGTGAGACGGGGAGTTGCACGCCAAAGTTTTATTGGAGAGGAGTCTTGGGCGATGCCTTTAAAGTACAGAAGCAAGCAAGGTAGTACTGGGCACAGTGAGAAGCTGAATGGTAGTGCAGTTACAAGTGAGGCCTCAGATGACCATTGCAGGATCTCTGAGGCTGCATGGATCTTTAGAGTTGACTAAAATTGAGACAAAGGAGTCTGTAGTATTGTTTTCCTCAGTAATCCCATCACTGGCTCTGGGTTACCTCTGTAACCTTGGGCAGGGCAGTTCCCTGCAGCTGAAGGTAGTCCCCAGTGAGGGGTGCTACAGTGGATACTGATACTCCCAACAGCCTGAAATACATGCATCAGTCCTGAAAAGGACATCTGGTTAGAACACTGCACTAAAAAAGATGAAACCCTAAGAACCCTCCCCTCACCTCCCCCCATCATGTTCTCTCAGTGCTTTGCTCCTGTTTCTTAGCTCTTCTAACATTGTGCATACCATCCATTTGGCACTTTCCTCCTCACCTGAACAGTCATTACAAAGCCACACCTTACATTTCTGAGTTTCCAGCACTGAGAAGATCACTGACAGTGGGTAGAAGCAGCTCCATTAATATTTGATGTTGGTGATGTTAATGGTGATGATATACCAACTATACTGCTGGGCACTGAGGAGCCTGAAAAAGAAGATAAGGCATGATTGAGTTTATTTGCCAAATGTATAATCATAAGGTATAAACTAAGGGAAGGGAAAGAATTGCTATAATTACCAAAGTGTCTTACATATAAATAAGTGCTCAAATTTTGTTAGAGTAGAAGAGTAAAAAAATGAGTAGGAGGACAATTAAGGGGGCACATGGTTGGCTTTGATTCTGAGCATAACTCAGTAAAACTTTGGAAAGAACACCTGTGGGTTGTCAGGTAGTCAGAATGATTCCCTGAAGCTGGTGGTCTTGACTTGAGTGGCCTAACAGTATGGGGGCTGTGGAGTTTAGAGAGGAAGGTTGAAGAGAACACAGTGGGGTAGGTAAGGGAATATTTTATGGTAGGAAAATAAGGGATTTGGGTATGCACAGAGGCAAGTAAGAACCTTATGCTTCCTTGGGGTGAAACATATTTGTGGGTGAATGCAGTAAGCAAGGCTCAGTAAATAGGGGATTGGAATAGATTGCTGACTGTAGTAAGTCATGATGGGGTCCTTAGCCGGGGAGTGAGAAATGGAAAAATATATTTTTAAGTAGTAGATAGCTCAGAATGGATTGGAGGGAATATCAGTTAGAGGCAGAGACATCAGACAGGAAGTTGCAGTGGCATTTAAATATAAGTGATGAAAGCCCAAATAAAGAAGGTTGAAGTTGGAATGGAATGTAAAGGTGGAGTTTAGAGGTTAATCTCCAGGAGGGAAAAAATATGACTTAATAACATGACGATGTTTCCCACTTCTTTATTCCTTAAACCTAAACATGTTACTAAAGATCAGTAACAAAGGGACTTCAAATTTCTGAAGTATTTATAATTAAAAAAAAAAAACTAATGCCATTATCGACAATGTTTATGATTCTAAAAACACTAAAACTTAACCTATGTAACACAATCAGAAAGACTGTTTTGACTGAACTGACTAGGCTGGTTAAGCTCTAACTCCGTCATTTCACTAAAACAAGTCACTTAGTAACTGCCCTCTGTGTAACTCTTCTGTTAAGCTTGTTCACACTGCAAAATGACTCCATTTAGCCCAAGCATTTAAACCAGCTGTACAGCATGGTTTATCTTTATTCCCCTCTCTCCTTCCCTACCTATCTGCTCACCTACCTACCTGCCTGCCTGCCTACCTACCTACCTTTCAACCTATGTCAGCAAGACCAAAGTTAAGTTATTTATTTATTGAGCTAATTTTGTAATGACTTGATTTTGCCTCGAGGCAGGTCTGGTACAATGTGACCTTGGTTGAAAGAGCATGTTTCTTGTAAGTGCAGGCATGATGTGTGATATACTTGGTATTTATCATGAGTATATCAACTGTGACATTATTTTAATAAATGCTAAGTATATTAGAATTCATTTTCATTTTGTCATCTGTCCCAATTTAAATCGGTGCATAATTTCGTGAAACAAAACACATGAGTTTACTTAAACAGTGACTATCTGAATGAATCCTTAATGTGGAGCTAAAGAAAAGTCAAAATTTATCCTTTTTTGAATTTCTATACACTTTTCAATGTAACTATTTGTATCTAACAATTCTATTCTTTACCATTTATATTACTGGCTTATCACATTACTATTTTTCAAATGTTTATTTATTTTTGCAGTTGGGGAGGGGCAGAAAGAAAAAGAGAATCTCAAGCACTGATAGTGCAGAGCCCAGTGCGAGGCTCCTCTCATGAACCAAGAGATCATGACCTGAACTGAAATCAAGAATTGGAGGCTTAGCCAACTGAGCCACCCAGGCACCCCCAAATTACTGTTTATATAAAATTAAACTATCTTTAAAATTTATTAAATGTAGAGCAAAATACAGTGATTAAGATTACACTCCCAATTCCTTTCTCATTTTATATTGCTAGGCAGATAATTTGTAAGGGAGAAGCATAGTTTTCTGCTTCATGGTTTTTGACGTATCTTGTCTCTGGGTTGAATTTTTTTAAAATTTTTTTAATATTTATTTATTTTTGAGAGACAGAGACAGAGCACGAGTGAGGGAGGAGCAGGGAGAGCGAGGAAGAGACAGAATCTGAAGCAGGCTCCAGGCTATGAGCTGTCAGCACAGAGCCTGACGCAGGGCTCTAACTCACAAACAGTGAGATCATGACATGAGCCGAAGTCAGACGCTTAACTGACTGAGCCACCCTGGTACCCCTCTGGGTTGAATATTTGAAAAGATAGTAGCCATTAAACTGAACTATTTTAAAGTTAAACTTTTTATTTTGAGATAATTGTAGAATGCAGCTGTAAGAAATACTACAGATCCATGTATTCTTTATCCATTTCTTGCAGTGGTAACATCTTGTAACACTATAGTAGGGCATCACAACCAGGATATTTACATTGATATAAGCAAGATATAGGCTATTTCCATTGCCACTAGGATTCCTCATATTGTGGTTTTATGGCCACACTTACTTTTCTTCTGTCTTCTTCCTATGGGGAACATTACTATAATTTTATCATTTCAAGAATGCTACATTAATAGAATCCTATAGTATACAAGCTTTTGGGATTGGCTTTTTTCACTTAGTATAATTCTCTGGAGAGTCACTCAACTCGTTCATTTCAAAACATTCTTCTTTTTGCTGACTAATATCCTAAAGCACGAGTATGCAACAGCTTGTTTAAACAAACATTCACCTATTAAAGAAGATCTGGGTTGTTTTCAGTTTTTAGATGTTATAAGGTTGCTATAAATATTCATATACGGATTTTTGTGGGAACATGTCTTCATGTCTCTGTCATAAGTGCCGAAGAGTGCTCTTGCTGGGTAGTATGGCAATTGTATGTTTTTTTTAGAAGCTGCTAAACTTCTCTAGAGTGATTGTACTAGTTTAAATTACACCAGCAGTACATGCATGATTGTTTCTCTGCATCCTCGCCAGCATTTGGGATTATCACTAAGTTTTTATTTTTACCATTCTGATAGGCATATAGTAACGTGATAGTGGTTTTAATGTGTACTTCCATAATGGCTAGTATGTTCAGTATTTTTTATGTGCTTATCTACCACATATATATTATCTTTGGTGAACTGTCTCTTCTTGTCTTTATCCACTTTATAATTGGATTTTTAGTACTGAGTTTTGAGACTTCTTTATAGTATTCTAGATACGATTCCTTTGTTGCATATGTGGTTTCCAAATATTTTCTTTCCTTTTGTAGATTTGTCTTAGGAAGATCTTTTGTAAAACAAAAGTTTTAGAATTTGATGAAGTCTCATTTACCAATTTTTAATTTTATGGATCACTGTTTTTCATATCAAGCCTAATAAGTCTTTGCTGAGTCCTAACTGGAGAAGATTTCCTTCTGTATTTTTTCTAAAAGTTTTATAGTTAGAAGTTTTACATATAAGTCTGTGACCCACTTTGTGTTAAGTTTTGTATAAGGTATTAGGTTAATGTCACAGGTTTTTTTTTTGTTTGTTTTCTAAACACTTTTTTAATGTTTATTTTTGAAAGAGAGAGAGGGAAAGAACACGAGTGGGGGAAGGGCAGAGGGAGAGGGAGGCACAGAATCCGAAACAGGCTCTAGGCTCTGAGCTGTCAGCACAGAGTCCAACGCAGGGCTTAAATTCATGAACTTCAAGATCATGACCTGATCTGAAGTCAGACACTTAACCGACTGAGCCACCCAGGTGCCCCAATCATATTACATTTCTAATTTCAGTGTCCATGTGTTAATCACTATCATATAGTAATATGAGAATTTTTTTTTGTATTAATTTGTGTCCTGTAATGTTTTTCAACTCACTTATTATTTATAGGAGCTTGTTGTTTTGTTACTGTTTTTAAATATTTTTTGGGATTTCTATGTAGACAATCATGTCATCTGCAAGTAAAGGCATTTTCACTTCTTTTCTTATCTGTATGCTTTTTATTGTCTTTTCTTGCCTTACTGCTGTGGGTAGAATTTCTAGCACCATGTTGAATAAGGATGGTGAGAGGAGACATTCCTTGCCTTGTTCCCAATTTTAGGAGGAACTATTCAACTTTTTAAAAAGTATGTTAGCTGTAGTTTTTTGTAGCTGCTTTTTATCAAGTTGAGGAAGATGACTTCTACTTCTGTTTTTCTGGGGGGAGCAGTTTTTAATACCAGTGGGTGTTGAATTTTGTCAAATGATTTTCTGCTTCATTTGAAGTGATCACATGAATTTTTTTTTATCTTGCTAATATAGAGGATTGCATTGATTGATTTTCAAATACTGAACTAGCACTGCACCTCTAGAGTAAACCTTACTTGGTCATGGTATATAATTGTTTTTATATATTGTTGAATTATATTTGCTAAAATTTTGTGAAGGATTTTTACATTTATATATACAAGGTATGTTGACCTGTAGTTTTCTTTGTTTTTTTTTTATTTCTTTGTCTGGTTTTGGTATCAGAGTAAAACTAACTTTATACAGTGAATCAGTAAGTGTTCCTTGTTGTACTTTTTGGAAGAGATTTGGTGCTAATTCTTCCTTAAAGGTTTGGTAGAATTCTCCAGTTCTCCATCTGGGCCTGGAGAACTGGGCAAGGTAGATTTTAAATTACAAATTCCATTTCCTTAATAGATAGAGGGCTATTCAAGCCATCTGTTTCATGTAAGATGAGCTGAGATAGTTTGTGTCTTTTGAGGAACTGGTGTGTTTCATCACTTGTCAAATGTATGTGTGTTAATAATAAGTATTCCCTTATTATCCTTTTGATATCTTCAAAGTCTATAGTGATATCTCCAGTTTCATTCCTAGTGTCAATAATTTACTTCTTTTTCGTCAATCTTGCTAGCGGCTTGTCAATTTTATAGCTGTTTTCTAAGAAACAGCTCTTTGTTTCATTGATTTTCTTTATTGTTTATTGCTTTCTCAATTTCATTCATCTACTCTTTAATATGTCATTCTGTTTGATTTGAGCTTGTTTTTCTCTTCTTTTTCTAGGTTCTTAAGACAATAGCTTCAAATATTATTTGAAATTTTTACTCTTTT